CGGATTCACATATGTAGCTGTAGGCATCTGCACCAGCCAGATTCATCAGCATGGAGTACCCCAAGGCGATGTTTTATGCCCTATTTTATTTATGACATTTTCATGAAGCCAGTCCCCATAGCCCGTGGCTATGCTGCATTATCGGACCCAGGTTGACAATAATCATGTCGTGAATCTACATTTGGCTTACTCCCTAATGTTGACCACCAGTTGTTTATTGTTAATATCCAGTCCGATAGGCACAGCGTTTCCATTCGATAAACGATAATAATATGAGGAATGGACGTGCTAATGTAGAACGACACACTCACGACGATAAGCCACCGACAGCGGTTGAGTAACAGTTATCGTACCCTTTAGTTACAGCATAAACTACGCCGACTTTATCATACGTCGTACTTATTCACCAATAAACGGCCAATCAGTGTAATCAATGTCTGTATTTATAACATTTTGTATTACAATAATGACAAATGCACTTTTGACAGATAATGTTGTTTTAGATATTTGCAAATATGGAAACAACACATTTTTTTGTAATCACCTAAATTGTAAAGAAATGTTTCAAATGCCGAATGATGCACAGAGGAGATGCCAGTGGTGTTCACAAACATGTAATTATTATAAAGGCGTTTGTGAAGGGAACAATTCGGAGTGATAAACGAAAAGTGTTTACTCATGATAAATCTCTATATTACTTTCGGCATGGAGACACTCATGGTGTAAATACATGCGTATTATACTTCGAATATTGATTTACTGATCATTCGAAAAATGCGCCGGGGATTTCTATGAGAGGTATGTGTGTGACGGTGTGTGTTTAGAATATGAAGTGTCTTGTTTTGATTGAGCACGAGATAAATATAACACCTAAAGAAATATATATCATATGACATTTTAAGATACAACTGGTCCATATAAGCAAGACAAAAGTAGTAATAGTTGTAGCAGTAGTAGTAGTTGTTGTTGTTGGTGGTGGTGGTGTTGTTAATGTGGAATTAGTAGTTTAAGTAATCATCGTAGTATCTGTTTTGTAGATGCAGTGATAGTCGTAGTAGTTGATGTTACTGTAGTTGTTGTTGTAGTAGCAGTAGTGGTAGCAAATGTAGAAGTTATATCAGTTTTGTAGATATAGTAGGAATATTTGATGTAGTAGTTATTGTTGAAGTAGTTTTAATCTTTGTAGTGGTAATAACAGTGGTATGTGTTGTTGTTACGTTGCCGTCGTAGTAGTAGCTGTTGTTGAAGTAGTTTCAGACGTTGTCATAATAGGAAAGCAGTTAAATGTAAGAAACAAATTGTATCCTCTAATTGCCAAAAGGGAGGCAATTCATTATTATTTTCCCAACCTAGAAATACAGTAACAATAGTCCTAACTGTGGAATGATTACTGTTATCAACGTTCATTTCAAACCTCCTGAGGCAAAGACGCAACTCATGGAGAAAATCAGCGAAAATAAAACACCCATGCAGTATAAGACAGGCAAACTTGGCGCACCAGAGATTTGGCAAAACCATGAAGCGTCTACATCAGGAGTACTGTCAACAGGATGGGCTTGACGTCATCACGTGATCTTGTTATTATTCACTTATTGAACAGTTCCGACTGAAAAGTTCAGAGAAAAGTGACCTACGTTTTTTTAACGAGACCCCGGTCTTCATGTGCACGCAGATGGACAGGTCAAAGGGAAGCATGGTACAGTCTAAGTTGAGAATATATGGATGTCAACTTCTTTATTAGGAGGAACACAACGTTTCGAAGTATATTCTCTTCCTTATGTTAATCACTTCCAAATGCCTTTCAAAGACCTGATGGTACAGTCTGTTTTGAATTTGTTGCCATTCGTATTAAATTTACACGCGTATTTTACACACACACACACACACGCACACATACAACGCACACGCACACACCGCGCACACGCACACACACCGCGCGCACACACACACACACACACACACACACCGCGCCCGCGCGTATACACATGTATACAAATAAAAATAAATACCTCTAAAGTAAGTGTTTCTTATTCAGTTAATATGTGTAAATAGGGGGCTATATCATTTAAATATCAGTTGAGGTCATCAGACCCAGCTGACTCAGTAAACAAATGACATTTGCCCTCATTTACACATATTAACTGAATAAGGATGATAATTTATGGATGTCAACTTCATGGATGTATACATGTATGCTTACTCCTTCATCGGGTGAATGATGAAGCATTCAGCTGATGAAGGAGTGAGCATATACTCCGAAACGCTGTGTTCCTCATAAAACAGAAGTTGACATCCATAAATTCTCTTCCTTATGTGTATCACTTCTAAATTCCTTTCAAAGACTTAACTGAATAAGGGCCAGCATTATAATTCCGTGACTACTTTAGTTGTTGTCGTAGTTGTAGAAACATCTGAACACAACTCATTACCTCCAGAACCGGGTAGTATTTATGTTTGTTTGTTGTTTAACGCAGCACTCAGCAATAGCCCAGCTATATGACGGCGGTCTGAACCAGACAATCCAGTGATGGAAATCATGAGCATGGATCCACGCAACTGGGATACGATAACATGCATCAACCAAATCAGCGAGCCTGACCACCCGATCCCGTTAGTCGCCTTTTACGACAAGCATCGTCGCATCTTACAAGCATGAGTTGCTGAAGACCTATTCTAACCCGGGTCGTCACTGGGGCATAAACATTTAAAACGTGATCTGAAGTCATATACCTGATTTCACCTCGTTACACAAATTAAATCTTAGCGCTGCGACTGTAGTGACCCAATGTTAAAAAACAGGAGTCACGGTAGCTGTTGAAGTTGTTGAATGGGACCCAGGAGATTAAAGCTTCCAGAGTTACCCCCCATTGTACTTATAACCCTTAACATTCGTGACCAACTTGTAGGTTACGGAAAGATCCGAGTGGTGACGAATGAAGGCGAGCTACTACAAGTTGTTTGTTAATGATGTGCCAAGACTTACACGTCTTAGCAAATAAGACGTTTGTGAAATGTTTGAGATTTAAAGGCCTTATTAAGATGAGCGTCTTTATCTTCTGTATATGACTTTAAAAACTGCTGTCATATCACGGCATACCTAGAATGGATAACTATGATACCACAGGAACATACCTGGGTGAGGTGAGGTGAAATGGGGTTTAACGTCGCGTCCAAGATTATTGCACTTATATAGCGACGTGCATGTACGTGTGTGTGTTTGTGTGTCTGCTTGTACTAGTCCGGACTGATGCCGATTTATAGTGCTAGCTAATATACTGACTCCGAGCCGACCAGTCCTTGTTTTAGCCCCGTAATGCCGAGCGCCAGACAGGGTAACAACAAGTACCATCTCTTAACGTCTTGGGTATGACGCGGCCGGGGATCGAACCCCGGACCTTCCGCTCTCCGGGCGGACGCTCTACCGCTAGACCACGGAGGCGGTCTGGAACATACCTGGCCTTCGCGCTGGTGATTTTACAGGTCAGTCAGTGAAATTACGATCACGATAGATTGATTGAAAGCGGCCGTAACATGTTCCTTCGTTTATAAACAGAAGGCCAGCATTTTGTTGTTGCTGTGGGCTTTCTTTACAGAATCGTGGTCCCTCGTGTGCCAGTGAGGCAGAGCATACATAGGACATCACCGTAGTTTTGTGTAGACGCTTTAACGAGGAAGTAAATTTGGTGGAATGAAACGACTTGATATATCCGTTTAAAACGGAGGAATGTACGGAAGTGCTCAGGGCGGTTACAACCTTTTGGAAACTCACACTGGCATGATTCTAACCGATCAAGAAACAGGACTGGGATTCGAACTCATGACAGCGTATCCTGCCAGCTATGGGGATTTGTTTCAGTTGATACTTTAATTTCACACACAATCAGAATTCCTCTGGTTTCCAAAGTGGATTTAATTAATACCAAGACAGTTTTTAAATAACGTCTCTTAAAATATGTAAGGTATATCCTAATTCTTACTATTGAAACAGAGTTAGTTTTTACATTAAAACTGATCAAAACCTAGAATGACTTTCGGGCAATTAGCCACGGGATCAACACACCCTCAAAGACAAACAGAGAGAGGTTCTCAGGCAAAGCAGGAATGACTAACAGTCGATTTCCCCCTATATTTATACCTGAGACCTCCTTTGTTAATCTGAAGGCAAGTCTACACTGCATATCAAGTTTGAAATTTGAGACTTTGGACTAATAAAGACTGGACATGTTATACAATTTTGTATGATGGGTTTGGTCTGTTAATAGCCAAAGCAGACGGTCAGTTTGGAAAGTTGAGGAATAGAAGATTATAAATGCCGATAGAATCACTCAGCTTGTGTTTGGTTTCGCGTTTTCAATTTTCTAGTTTGGTCAGTTGCAGCTAAATGGCTGATAACGGTACACTGGTAAGTGCCGAACGCGCTGACCACAACCAGTTGTTATTCAACATGTAATTAAAGTTTCGCCCACCGACCTGTTTCAGGCAGCGTAAATCTGAAGTGCCAGATGTTGTTATACAATTTCTTATCGCTAGTATGTACCGACAGGTTTAAATGGTTAACCGACAACTTATGAACTGAAGGCGAATTTGACAAAAAGTTGAATCAAATATAGCAATTTTAGCACTGTTGCAATATTAATACCCTTTAATGCCGTGACTGTTTGTTTCTGAAACAAAGCGTAAGGTCAAGAGGTAACTGTAACGAGGAAGTTTGCATTGCTCTACATTAGGTTTGATGTTCAGGACAGGAGGTCTTAGCATAAAGGACGGGAACGGAGCATCCGTTGGGTGCGTTTGGGCTATTGTTCTCACTGTTGACTGCTTCTCCTTTACGTTTGTACCTTTACTTCTTTCATTGCGCGTTTTCAGATGTGCTAAAGCAGTGGTTGCGAAAACAAAAACAGTCGGACTTTATGTTGCTGTTGCATTTTCCACAAATTATTTTTGAAAGTTAACATTCGACAAAATACAACCCTGCTGCAGATGCGTCTTGTTTCCGTCCAACATCAAATGTTCAAAGCGATCTGCTTTATTAGTCATATACACCAGTGTATATATACACCGTACTTGTGTGTCATGTCAAAGATGTCACACTATGTGATATACTCTGCGATCGCAGTCATCTTGTGTTCACCTAAAGTTACTACAGTATCGGGTAAGATTATCTGTACAGCCCCTTTATCCGCACAAGATGTGTTACCTACTGAAGATGCAATACCCGTGTTGTGTTGGTTGTTAATATAGCCGTATTGACCACTACTTTCGCCTTGTCTGTACATGTATTTGTGTTAATGTTGTTAATTGCATTTGTTCATGTCTGTCCTTCTGTGTGTCATTACACATGGTGCCAAATATACGTTCATGTCCCCTCTTCTACAGTGCCATAATACCCTGTGGTAGGCCTGTGCTTATATCCACTCGTCCAGATGTTTTAAACAATGCTCTCAAATATACGTTCATGTCCCCTCTTCTACAGTGTCATAATACCCTGTGGTAGGTCTGTGCTTATATCCACCCGTCCAGATGATTTAAACAATGCTCTCAAATATACGTTCATGTCCCCTCTTCTACAGTGTCATAATAGCCTGTCGTAGGCCTGTGCTTATATCCACTCGTCCAGATGTTTAAAACAATGCTCTCAAATATATGTTCATGTCCCCTCTTCTACAGTTTCATAATGCCCTGTCGTAGGCCTGTGCTTATATCCACTCGTCCAGATGTTTTAAACAATGCTCCCAAATATATGTTCATGTCCCCTCTTCTACAGTGTCATAATACCCTGTGGTAGGCCTGTCCTTATATCCACTCGTCCAGATGTTTTAAACAATGCTCTCAAATATATGTTCATGTCCCCTCTTCTACAGTTTCATAATACCCTGTCGTAGGCCTGTGCTTATATCCACTCGTCCAGATGTTTTAAACAATGCTCTCAAATATACGTTCATGTCCCCTCTTCTACAGTGTCATAATAGCCTGTCGTAGGCCTGTGCTTATATCCACTCGTCCAGATGTTTTAAACAATGCTCTCAAATATATGTTCATGTGCCCCTCTTTACAGTTTCATAATAGCCTGTCGTAGGCCTGTGCTTATATCCACTCGTCCAGATGTTTAAAACAATGCTCTCAAATATATGTTCACTCGTCTATGATGCTACTACCCAGGGTTCCTAATATGTCTACATCCACTTGTTGATGACGAAATAACGCATGGTCCCAACATTGTCTTTATATCCACTTGTTTATGATATAACCATGGTCCCAACATTGTGTTTATATACACTCGTTTATAATATAACCATGGTCTCCACATTGTATTTATATCTACTTGTTTATGATATAACCATGGTCCCAACATTGTGTTTATATACACTCGTTTATTATATAACCATGGTCTCCACATTGTATTTATATCTACTTGTTTATGATATAACCATGGTCCCAACATTGTGTTTATATACACTCGTTTATTATATAACCATGGTCTCCACATTGTGTTTATATCTACTTGTTTATGATATAACCATGGTCCCAACATTGTGTTTATATACACTCGTTTATTATATAACCATGGTCTCCACATTGTGTTTATATCTACTTGTTTATGATACAATCCATGGTCCCAACAGTGAGTTTGTTCTTATATTACCCATGGACCCAACAATCTGTTTATATTCACGTGTTTATGATATAACCCATGGATCCAACATTCTGTTTATATTCACGTGTTTATGATATAATCCAGTGTCCCAAAAATCTGTTTATATTCACATGTTTATCATATAACCAATGGACCCAACATTGTGTTTATATTCACGTGTTTATAATATATAACCCATGGTCCAAACATTGTGTTTATATTCGCGTGTTTCTGATACAACCAAAGTTTCCAACATTGCGTTTATATTCGCGTGTTTATGATATAGCCCATGGTCCCAACACTGTGTTTATATTCGCGTGTTTCTGATATAACCAATGTTTCCAACATTGTGTTTATATTCGCGTGTTTCTGATATAACCAATGTTTCCAACATTGTGTTTATATTCGCGTGTTTATGATATAGCCCATGGTCCCAACACTGTGTTTATATTCGCGTGTTTCTGAAATAACCAATGTTTCCAACATTGTGTTTATATTCGCGTGTTTATGATATAGTCCATGGTCCCAACATTGTGTTAATACTCACGTGTTAATGCTATAATCCATTGTCCCAACATTGTGTTTATATCCACTTGTTTATGATATAACTCATGGTCCCAACATTCTGTTTATATTCACGTGTTTTTGCTTTAATCCATGGTCCCAACTTTGTGTTTATATTCACGTGTTAATGATATAATTCATTGTCCCAACATTGTGTTTATATTCACGCGTTAATGAAATAACCTTTGGTCCCAACAATTTGTTTATAGCCATTTGTTTATTACATAACCCATGGTCCCAACTCCACTTGTATATATCCACTTGATGATATAACCTGTGGTCCCAACGCTGTGTTTATATCCACTTGATGTTATAACCCGTGGTCCCAACTCTGTGTTTAAATCCACTTGGTGATATAATCCATGGTCCCAACTATGTGTTCATATCCACTTGATGATATTACCCGTGGTCCCACCCCTGTGTTTATATCCACTTGATGATATTACCCGTGGTCCCACCTCTGTGTTTATATCCATCCATGATCCCACCTCTGTGTTTATATCCACTTGATGATATTACCCGTGGTCCCACCCCTGTGTTTATATCCACTTGATGATATTACCCGTGGTCCCACCTCTGTGTTTATATCCATCCATGATCCCACCTCTGTGTTTATATCCACTTGATGATATTTACCCGTGGCCCCACCTCTGTGTTTATATCCACTTGATGATATTACCCGTGGTCCCACCTCTGTGTTTATATCCACTTGATGGTATTACCCATGGTCCCAAATCTGTTTATATCTACTTGATGATATTACCCGTGGTCCCACCTCTGTGTTTATATCCACCCGTGGCCCCACCTCTGTGTTTATATCTACTTGATGATATTACCCGTGGTCCCACCCCTGTGTTTATATCCACTTGATGATATTACCCGTAGTCCCACCTCTGTGTTTATATCCACTTGATGATATTACCCGTGGTCCCACCTCTGTGTTTATATCTACTTGATGATATTACCCGTGGTCCCACCTCTGTGTTTATATCCACCCGTGGCCCCACCTCTGTGTTTATATCTACTTGATGATATTACCCGTGGTCCCACCTCTGTGTTTATATCCACTTGATGATATTACCCGTAGTCCCACCTCTGTGTTTATATCCACTTGATGATATTACCCGTGGTCCCACCTCTGTGTTTATATCCACTTGATGATATTACCCGTGGTCCCACCTCTGTGTTTATATCCACTTGATGGTATTACCCGTGGTCCCACCTCTGTGTTTATATCCACCCGTGGCCCCACCTCTGTGTTTATATCCACTTGGTTATATAACCCATGGTCCCAACTATGTGTTTATATCCACTTGATGATATAACCCGTGGCCCAACCTCAGTGTTTATATCCACTTGGTGATATAACCCATGGTCTCAACTATGTGTTTATATCTACTTGATGATATTACCCGTGGTCCCAACCCTGTGTTTATATCCCATTGATGATATTACTCATGGCCCCAACTCTGTGTTTGTATCCACTTGATGATATAACCCATGATCCCAACTATGTGTTTATATCCACTTGATGATAAAACACATGGTCCCAACTATGTGTTTATATCTACTTGATGAAAAACCCGTGGCCCCACCTCTGTGTTTATATCCACTTGGTGATATAACCCATGGTCCCAACTATGTGTTTATATCCACTTGATGATATTACCCGTGGTCCCAACCCTGTGTTTCTATCCATCTGTGCTCCCACCTCTGTGTTTATATCCACTTGATGATATTACCCGTGGTCCCACCCCTGTGTTTATATCTACTTGATGATATTACCCATGGTCCCAACTCTGTGTTTATATCCATCTGTGATCCCACCTCTGTGTTTATATCCACTTGATGATATTACCCGTGGTCCCACCCCTGTGTTTATATCTACTTGATGATATTACCCGTGGTCCCAACCCTGTGTTTATATCCATCTGTGATCCCACCTCTGTGTTTATATCCACTTGATGATATTACCCGTGGTCCCACCCCTGTGTTTATATCTACTTGATTATATTACCCGTGGTCCCACCTCTGTGTTTATATCCATCTGTGATCCCACCTCTGTGTTTATATCCACTTGATGATATTACCCGTGGTCCCACCCCTGTGTTTATATCTACTTGATGATATTACCCGTGGTCCCACCTCTCTGTTTATATCCATCTGTGATCCCACCTCTGTGTTTATATCCACTTGATGATATAACCCGTGGTCCCACCCCTGTGTTTATATCTACTTGATGATATTACCCATGGTCCCAACTCTGTGTTTATATGCACTTGATGATATTACCCGTGGTCCCACCTCTGTGTTTATATCCACTTGATGATATTACCCGTGGTCCCACCTCTGTGTTTATATCTACTTGATGATATAACCCGTGGTCCCAACTCTGTGTTTATGGGGCCACTGTGTTTATATCCATCCGTGGTCCCACCTCTGTTTATATCCACTTGATGATAAAACACATGGTCCCAACTATGTGTTTATATCTACTTGATGAAAAGCCCGTGGCCCCACCTCTGTGTTTATATCCACTTGGTGATATAACCCATGGTCCCAACTATGTGTTTATATCCACTTGATGATATTACCCGTGGTCCCAACCCTGTGTTTCTATCCATCTGTGCTCCCACCTCTGTGTTTATATCCACTTGATGATATTACCCGTGGTCCCACCCCTGTGTTTATATCTACTTGATGATATTACCCATGGTCCCAACTCTGTGTTTATATCCATCTGTGATCCCACCTCTGTGTTTATATCCACTTGATGATATTACCCGTGGTCCCACCCCTGTGTTTATATCTACTTGATGATATTACCCGTGGTCCCAACCCTGTGTTTATATCCATCTGTGATCCCACCTCTGTGTTTATATCCACTTGATGATATTACCCGTGGTCCCACCCCTGTGTTTATATCTACTTGATTATATTACCCGTGGTCCCACCTCTGTGTTTATATCCATCTGTGATCCCACCTCTGTGTTTATATCCACTTGATGATATTACCCGTGGTCCCACCCCTGTGTTTATATCTACTTGATGATATTACCCGTGGTCCCACCTCTCTGTTTATATCCATCTGTGATCCCACCTCTGTGTTTATATCCACTTGATGATATAACCCGTGGTCCCACCCCTGTGTTTATATCTACTTGATGATATTACCCATGGTCCCAACTCTGTGTTTATATGCACTTGATGATATTACCCGTGGTCCCACCTCTGTGTTTATATCCACTTGATGATATTACCCGTGGTCCCACCTCTGTGTTTATATCTACTTGATGATATAACCCGTGGTCCCAACTCTGTGTTTATGGGGCCACTGTGTTTATATCCATCCGTGGTCCCACCTCTGTTTATATCCACTTGATGATATTACCCATGGTCCCAACTCTGTGTTTATATCCACTTGATGATATTACCCGTGGTCTCACCGCTGTTCATATCCACTTGATGATATAACCCGTGGTCCCAACTATGTTTATATCCATCCGTGGTCCCATCTCTGTGTTTATATCCACTTGATGATATTACCAATGGCCCCAACCATGTTTATATCCACTTGTTGATATAACCCGTGGTCCCAACCATATTTATATCCACTTGTTGATGAAATTTTATCTCGTCACGATATGGCTGCAATACTGCCGATGTGACGTTAAATATTAACTCACTCACTCCACTTGTTGATGATGGTGTAACACATGGTCCCAACTATGTGTTTATATCCAATCATTTATATCCATGGTCCCCTTGGAGGATGTCATGTTCCTTATTCCTAACTATGTCCCTATTTCTATCTAGAAAGTCATGTCTGTGTTTCCCTGGAATCAGAATCGATATTCCTGTATATAAACTGAAGAATATATTCAAAGGAAGTGCATATTCATTCCTCTTGATATATTTTTTTGAATTGACTCATCAATATTTCCTTGTTTCACAGAAATTTTCCTCGTGTTTCAATAAAATATATCTTAAATTTTGTTTCGTAACCTGAGGTCATATCCTGGCGTGTACACCTCCATTGTCCAGATGCCCCACGGGTGATGTACATCCACACACACACACACACACACACACACACACACACACACACACACACACACACACACACACACACAGAGATATCTGCCAACAAGGATCATGTAACTACGCATAAACTGTCAGATCATTTCCTTGTGTGCTTACGGTATAAATAGTCTTCCCAAGATTCCCGTTCTCTCTTACAGCTCAGGGAAACCGGATGTCCACTCCTATAAGTACCGGAAGAAGTTGCAATGGCACAGCTGATGCGAACTGCGCAGAGGGTACAGTATGTCATATTCAGTCGTGATTCATGTGGCAAACGTGGTGATATGTGAAGTATATACGAAAGACTTTAACCCAAAATTGACACAGTGTAAATATTACTTGTCCACTTTTGTAACGGCGTTATTTTCTATGTGTTTACTACTTATTTGTACGATTCCGATCCCGAGCCCCAGACAACCGATGTTTCACTTCATGCAACACAATTGGATAGAAAATACTAAATTTTACAACTAATGGAAATTCTCAATTTTGTGGCTACATTTATATCTATTGTGCCACAAATATGAAACTAAGTGACTAAAAAACTATTTATTAGTTATGCTTTGTCTTTCCCCAATATAACATTATGGTTAGTGATATGAGGTCTGTATGGGCATTCTCGGATCAAGTATCGTCTAAAAATAGCCATAAAAAACTAGTCCTCATATCCTGAAGCAGACGCGAACATATCCTGAACCAAAAACATTAGGGATCATGAATATTTGGGGGATATGACATTGTGTGCACAGTCTTCACAACAAAAATATCTCTAAAAACACTCATGATCCCTAACTATATTTTTTTTCAGTATATATAACTCTCATTTCACATACTTGCAGAGGGAGATAAATTATTGTTCAGGGGGCGTAGGGGTAACCTAGTGGTCAAAGCGTTCATCCGCCATGCTTTACGCTGTTTCGATTCATGAGTATAAATGTGTGAACCAAAATATCCCCGCAGTAATAAGAGGTCAATATTGCAGACAGTGTGCCTGCGTGCGTGTGTGAAGGTGTTTAATTTGCAGATATTATTCTTTACTTTCTTTCTTGCAGACGGATATCTTATGCCATACGTGGTTAAAATTGTCATCATCTCCGCATCAATAGTCGGGGCCATCCTTCTCCTCAGCCTGGTTGTGTGTGTCTGGCACTTTGTGCGAAAGCGGTGAGCAATAACGGTATTTCACTGCATGTTGATATACGCCGTTTACTCCAGGTGCCGTAACTAGTATGGGGTAGTGACTGCCAGCACGACTAACGTGATCGGTACGTGATACGTGGTCGTATCCCAATAGCGTGGATCGATGTTCATGATGTCAATCACTGGATTTTCTGGTCCAGACTCGATTCTTTACAGCCTGCCGTCATATAAATGGAATATTGCTGAGTGCGGCGTTAAACAAACAAAGAAACAAGAAATTAAGTTAATAAAAATCGTATGTTCACTTGTGCAAATATCACTTCTTGTTGACGTCATTCGAATCTCATTGTGACGTCACACTAGAAAACGACGTCATAGCTGTAAATTTTTGACGTCATTCGACCTTGTGATCATTTTTGTAAAGGGGAGCTCTAAAAGATTAAGAGAAAAATGGGTAATATGTGTGATTTTACGAAACCCGTGTAAGAATTAATGTATTACATGCGCTCTCGCCCGGCATGTTTTCTGACACCGTTTTGTAAATCCAGTATGACACACATGCTCGTATTATAATCCCTATGTACAGGAAACTTTTTTAACACTAAAGAGCAACATATGATAGCATACAGTTTGATAATAGCACGAGACAGAATTATAAATCCGCGTTCGTGAACGAAACAACTGGACATTTGGAAGATAAACCTACTGTGAAATTTGATGTAGTCCTACCAGGAATACAGCTCTTCTAACACAATCTGGGTGATGCAGAAGGCTGCAGTGTTGGGGAGTCTTCACACTCTCCGAAAAGTTCTTGGTGGGTTTGACTAGGCATCGAGAAGTCCCATTCGCTGTCTGGGCTGCGTGTTGAGGGGGCAAGGGCCCTGAGCTGATGATGATCCTAACCAGCCTGACTGTGCCAGGATCACCCAAACCCTCTTTGCTGCATTTTTTTATTTTAATCTGTAAATAATAATAATTATAATAATAATAATAATAATAATAATAATAATGAATTTATTTCTATGGGGCAGCATACACACTACTGTTATATTCCGACAGCTTGTAAATAAATAGTCGACAGACCAGTGTTTCATATTATACCCTCAGGGTACCAAATCAACAATCCTGTCCATTCTTTCCAATTTAGTCACAGAATACGTGGCTTCAAAGTTTTAATGTGTATCATTTGAAAAGGAACACATAAAATATGATAAAGAATTTATTTCCTACAGGAGGTCTGAGAAAGTGATTGATATCGAGGCATCATCGGATTTCTACAAATCTGAAGACCCCCAAATACATCTTCGTCGACTCGACGCGGGCGAAACATCACGGGCTATCAGAGACGCCGCCAGTGTGTTCAGCTGGGGCTCTGATTTCCTTGATGAAGAGAGCCGAAGGAACTACGAGAATCACGAGTTGATTGGAGGCATGCCAAACCGGAACCGGAAGTCACGTAGTCAGGTTTACGCTAATACCCTCGTCATTGGTAACGACAGAACTCAGGAATCTTCAACGTATACTAACGTCAAATATAATGATATGACGATGTGATGTTATGCAAAGGGAAGACAACACCAAGGTCACTTAATGAGAGTATGACGCGTACAAGGGCTGACCAAATACTTGTATGTCGTTGCAGATATTCAACCAGTCTCAAGTCTAAGAGATTGTATGATGCCATTTTCTCAGAGGAAGATTCATTATATTGTATTTTACAGTTATGTCCACATTAGTTTTTATGTCAACTAATATTTGTATATTAGTACGCTTTGGTTTTAGGTGTAAAGTTCGGTATCAGTCTATTTTATTTAAGGGTAGTTTGGTGTAGATCTTAGTTATGGCTACCGCTACACAAAGATCTGATGACATCCCATAACAAATCACGACAGAACTTCCTTTCGCAAACTTATCTTGACCAACCAATGTCACGACTAACAGGAAATCGACACCACCCAGTACAGGAGCTTGCTGGAGTTATGCGACACTAGTTTCAAACTTGCGACTTCCATTCCATACTGTTCTTTGAAATTAATTTGACAAAGTTCGCGATTCAAAATTTGAAAACTGAACAAAAGAACATTCTGGAATGTCTAATAGATGGCCGAGATTGTATGACAGCACTTGCCAAGGGCTATGCAAGGCCTCATTCGTTCAAATGTTTATCCCATTGAAGCGAAAATAAAAGTATAAAACTGCAAAATAACTTATCTAATTAATTAAAGCGTTTCTAATTTCCCTACAAGTGAATCATTGAATGTTTCATTAGTTATTTCATTAAGAAGGAGTTGTGTAGAGATCAATGGAAGTTTGAATGTGGTATTAGCCTTGATTGTTTTGGTGTGTTTCACAATTTTGTAATGTTTATAGATATAGTGATTTGCAGATATAGCAATGTTAATGTTAACATATTTTAGAGACGCTTTTAGTGTTTGGCTCGGCTAGCGCTGTTGGTGTTTGCACAGGGTGGGTGAGGTGAGGTGAAATTGGGTTTAACGTCGCGTCCAAGATTACTGCACTTATATAGCGACGTGCATGCACGTGTATGTGTGTGTGTGGCTGCTTGTACTAGTCCGGACTGATGCCGATTTATAGTGCTAGCTCACTGAGATACCATGCCGCAGTTTTAACATGAATACCCCACTCAGACACAGTATACTGACTCCGAGCCGACCAGTCCTTGTTTTAGCCCCTTAGTGTCGAGCGCCAGACAGGGTAACAACAAGTACAATCTTTTAACGTCTTTTTGTATGACGCGGCCCGGGATTGAACCCTGGACCTTCCGCTCTCCGGGCGGACGCTCTACCACTAGACCACGGAGGCGGTCGCACAGGGTAGGAATTACCCGGAGAATAACAAGCCACTTACAAGGAATTAGGGATGGTCTGTCCCGAGTGAATAGTTGCTGCCGAGCCCTTGATGAGGGACTTACAGCATTCATTCACGAGGGACAGGTAATCCGCGATTCCGAGTTTCGTACATTACTCTATTTGTCATTTTAAGAGAGAAATTGAAGAAAAGTGTGTGTGAAATGTCAGCCTTACTGATAAAATCTCACTTTAGGTAGCCTATTGTTCAGATGACGTCATGTTATCATTCTGTGACGTCATGGACGCTGGGAGAAGTTATATCGCATTTTTCTCAATGAAAGACTGTGACGTATTGTGGCTTGAATTGACCAATCAGCATTAAGAATCGCTGAAAAGCTTATTTGCAAATATCGGGAAGTGATGACACAGGATCATTCTCCCCTTATAGGTAATTGTTTGTATACTGTAGTTCTCGAAATAGAATCACGAAATATCGCGATGATTAATTAACGAAGATAGCAGCATGTGTGATAATATCCGCCGATAAGCGCCGATAAGAGCTCTTTTCAAGAAATGTCCATCATTGATCACGTGGTTACTGTATATGAGGATGGGGAGTCAGGTGACTGCGAGCGACTTCATTTTGCAGCGTGTGCAGCTTACATATATTACCAGCACGAACTGAAAGTAAATGTGCAGATGTAGTGCTTAAAGCGCTATTGACTCAGGTCACTGCTCACGATAACCGCTCGCAGTCACCCAACTGTCGAATCTTACCCGGATTGTAACCGCGTGATCAAGACTTAACGCTGATGTTAATCGCTGAGAAAATTGACATTTCTTGAAAAGCGCCCATTGCAATATTTGTCATAACAGTAAGTTGTATTCGTTGTCGGCGGAATGACATGTTTTCACGTTAAAAGTACAAGAGAACTTTGATCTAGAGCCCAACGCGCAAAGAAGTTTTGTACCTTTCCTAGCTATTGATGCAAGTACCTATTCTGTCATAAAGAGCACTCGTGTAACTCAGAAGATAGAACCAATTGTAATTTGCGCGTGGTACCTTCAGAATCAGGAATGAAAATATGGTACATTTCTTTTTGAATATTTCTATAATATACAAGTAGAAAACAAACACTTCTCTATGAGAGTTACCTCCTTAATAGTAATATGTTTACTCCTGTAGCCTGACACGTCAATTATTCACAAAAAGTCCAAAAGTGGTAATATCTCGATACACGGGAATTGGGGCAACGTTTCCCGCATAGCAATATGCTATAGGCCTGTCCCCGAACCTCTCAACAGTCTTCCTTACACGGTCTTCGCTACACGGAAATTGGCCAAAGTTTCCCGCATAGCAATATGCTATATGCGGAAATAGGTCGAACAGAGCCAGACTGGTACCCTGCCCTTCGCCTCCTAGAGGCTGCAAGCGTGGAGCGCAAGCACTCTAGGGCAGGTAAAACAGTCTAGGACAGGACGTGTCTCCATCCTGTGATTGTTGCCGAATAGCATTAACATGTTTTGTGTAATAATTTACGCAAAGGAATGTTTTTAAAAATATTTTATAATTATTTATCTAATTCAGACAAAGATATAGTTTCTTTTAGAAGTTTGGTTACATTTTTTCCAACGATTACTCATGCCTATATTCCCATGTGATTTTCTCAAACCCATAACAAATACGGCACCGTGTTTAATAAGCATTCATGCAACTCTCTTCGTTGAATAATCATCGCGATATTTCCTGATTCTATTTCAAGTGGCGAGGACTATAGTATGTGTATGTAATATTTAGTATCAAATCTGTTGGGATGGACATCCATGTCTATATATGTATTAACTATGAATTTATACACCAAGGAGTTATAGCCCCTTGTAGTTAACTATACCATAAGCTTTCTAATTTGTATAACGTCTAACGGATGTAAGGATGTGTTTTAAAATAATGGTCCTATTGTATGATACTGTATTTATTGTATAGTGTATTGTTTCAGCGTGTGTGTGATGTCATTTGGGGAATTAGAAGTTCTCACAACGTACCAACTGTCATGGACCCTGTGTCCCCATCCTCACAGTAACCCGGTTACAATTAGTATTTTGTATTATTGCTATGTTTCAAAATGTTCCAAACTTAAACGAAGCCCCCTAGAGATAGCGGGGTGTTGTTGAGTTTCAGATTTACAACATTCTCTCTTGCTCCTTTAAGGACACTGTATTATTTATTTGTGTAATCTTTGGTATATGAAGCTCGTACGAGGGATCTCTTGATCTCTCCTTGTTAGAACATTGTCGATGAACCTTTCATTATTGTTTGGATTATTTCTCAATGTTTTGTTGTAAATTATTTGGATAATTATTCACTGATATGCTTTTGTATTTTGTCTCGCCGGTTATCTTTGAAATATATATGCGTATAATATATTTGTAGTATATATTTTGAATAAAGCATGTGTGGGTCATCATGGAGCCCATCATGGAGCTCATGATGTCAGTCACTGAATTGTCTGGTCCAGACTCGATTATTTACAGACCGCCGTCATATAGCTGCAATAGCGCTGAGTGCGGCGTTAAACAACATTTAAACAAAACATAGTAAGGATAAGAATTTATGGATGAACAACTTCTTTATTACAATGAGGAGGGAGGTTTCGGTGTAGGTTCTATCACCGTTATCAAGCAAGTAACGGTGTTAGAAAATACACCGAAACGTCGCTCTTAATTGTAATAAAGAAGTTGTTCATCCATAAATTCGTATCCTTACTTAGTACTCCAACTTCTAAATGCCTTTCAAAGAAACCAAACGTGACGAGCTTGAATGGGATTCTCTTAAGGGCGGTTCCAAACGGTCTTTGCTTTTCGACATCTTAATCATGTGTGAAGCCTATTGTACTATTCTGATTGAGATGCGACCTGCCTCTTTAAACTATGAAAGTTCTAATCAGACACGATATTGGTTTTCTGTATGTGTTGCCTTTTGATAAATATCTTCCTCATTGAAATGCTGACAATGTTATTATGTCTCAGAAAGGGACTACCGTAATTAGTATTCCGATCGGGAAATCATGATGAGGGTGAAGGAAATGACAAGAATCTGATTCCGAAATGTGTTTCCATGACGTCCGCTCCATCGTAATTAACGAGTCGTGTTGAGTGCTTTTGTGTAAAACATCCATTGAATGGTATTCTTAAAAGCTTATTTTTTAGGCTTCAAGGATGTATTGCAACAAAGGCCATAAGACCAAATGTACATACATGTTTAAGGTCATGCGACTCGCAGTGTGTGTATAAACAATATGGAACAACGCAGAACATAAGTTGCATGTATAGCAAGATGGAGTATAAGCACACAGTTCAGAAATAAATGATAAGCATATTCTGCAATTTCAAATTCATCTCATGATCATGCCAACCAAAATTACTTACAAATGTGTTAGAATATTCATACTTTGACAAATATTTACTTCTTATTTGTAAATACAAAGCTATTTCGCTGGCAATGTTTCTTTGAAATAGTGCCAATGAAGTAATTCATTTGGCCTGCAATGCATGACAGAGATTGTGTAACGAGTCTGATTTAGGTGTCAGATGAGTAACCCGGGAAATAATCCATATAATGTCCAATGGGACTTTTTTTCAAGACAATCGACTTTTCACCACGACTTTTATCTGGCCTGAAATACATTATGGAGACAAAATGAGAGGCGCATGAACCAAAATATCATACAATGCTGTCTAATTGGACGCAAGCAGCAAAAAATGGTTATACGATGCGTGATTTACTGTGTCAGGTTCTTATCATTACATGCAAACTTGTGTGGCTGTTTCTATTCAAAGTGTATTATTACATATTATGTAGTAGTAAGCGAAGGTCTGTTTCTCATATCTGACACTCCCATTGTACCCGCTTTACAAACTAAGTTCACCTATTTAGATTGATAGATTATGTGATGAGAAAGAATAATTGTTTGGTGTGCTCAATTTTTTTCACTACGGTCACCCTGAAATCAAAGATGGCCGCCAATATGGCCGCCACTTTTCTACCTAACCTATTAACTTCACTATATATCCTATTTGTTTATCAAATATTAATCATAAATCACTACTTACCATCAACAGCTGATGTGTAATATATATATTTTGTTTGGGCACCAAATTTTAGAACGGAATTACTAGTTCGAAAGGGATGCCAAGTTCAAATTAATGATATAATTTAATCAAAAACGGGGTATTTTTTGTATGGATATACCAATAAGAACTTCAATTTGGAATAGGATAATACAAATTAACCACTTTTGGCTCAGTAAATATTCATTAAAGGTATATTAGGTTTAATAAAACTACAAATAATAGGTAGTATTTGTGATCCTAACTCACCGGATGTGATCACGTAGACAGGATCCCATTAGGGTTTGTGATTTTACACAATTGCCCAATGACCATACAGATTATTGGTGCTTGGTATATCAAACGAATCAGTTTATTATTAGAGGAAATTGGTACTCAATTCTTGACATGTAAATAGCATGCTAATAGGATGTCTTCAGGATTGTTCACAATAAAGCTGTTAATAATAAAGTTGTGAAGTTTGGAGAACTTGATCGTATTTGCAGTTACCACTGTCCATTATTTGCAAATGTTAGTGCAAGAAAGATTTGCAATGATTGACCTTTTAAACGAAAAATATATAATTTCTCGCGAGCCGACACTGAAAGCATAACTAGGGAATTAATACTTGACACAAGTAATCTCCAGTATTCTAGGAAAACTAAATATGAGT